CAGGACTTCCCATACATCTGATGCAATTTCAGTGGTTCCAGCTGACTTTGCTGCTTCTGCATTGAAAAGCTGTTTCTTCACAGGAGCATTGATTTGGCACAAGTCAATACAAGGCTGTCTAGCAGGTTTATTACGGTGAATCTTCTTACGCTTGAAATTTCATTTTGCAGCAGACAAAGGAGTGGTCTGTGTCACAGTCTGCATGTTGAAAGGATTGTGCATACAGGATATCTTTCAGGTGTGTATGTCTTGTCAGTACCAAGTCTAACTGATGCCAGTGCTTGGACCTCAGGTGTCTCCACAACATTCTTCTGATGTTACCAGCAAAAAAGGTGTTCGTCGCTGATAAGCCTTGGCTGGCAGAGCTCAATAATTCTCTGCCCATTATCGTTCACATGTCCAATGCCATGCCTACCCAGAATCCCAGGCCAGATCTCAACATTGGCCCCAACTCTTGCATTGAAATCTTCAAGTACTAGGATGGATTCCTTCCATGGAATCCTGCCAATAAGTTCTTCCAGCTGTTGATAGAAGCAGTCCTTCTCCTCATCAGTAGCCTGCAGTTAGAGCATAGACACTGACAAGGTTGATGAGTCCCTTCTGTAGTGTAACTTGAAGAGTCATGGTACGTGTGGACACTGCAATCAGAGTTTCACGCAATGACCTAAGTTCATTTCTGATAGCAAAACCTACACCATGGCCTCTTCTTACTCTTTCAGGTTTGCCATGCTAGTAAATAGTGTAGTCCTTGTCCTTTAGGAAGCCTGTATCTGAGAGCTGAGTTTCCAAAAGAGCTGCAATATCAATTCTGAGACTCATTACTCAACACAGTTATTTTCCTCGGATCTGAATCCAGATCAGTTATATCCAAGGGTTAAAGTCTGTATGTTCCAGCAAGCAATCTGTTTATAACTCAGTTGAGCCAGGATGTAAGTAATGAGGCAAGGCTTGTTTGACCCACCTCTTCTAGGGCCACTCTCATGTGAAACAAGCAGGCCATCCCTAAACAGGGCTGCCTGGAAATCTTCATTAGCTGCCTCAGGGCCCTTATGCCCCTTATGTAATTACAGCATGTTGGAGCAGACTTTCTGTTCACATATAGGTGCCCCAAGAAACCAGGCACCACAAGCCCCAAGTTCACGAGAAAATGTTACTTCCTGACAGAGAGATAGGAAGATTAAGGCTAAAAATCCTCTGTGTCTGCCATTCTTCTTTGTGGCTATTGTAAATGCTCATCTGTTTCATTCGTCAGAGTACAAGTGGCAACTGCATGGTGTCTCAGGAGATCTGTAAATGGAATCATCCAGGAATTCACCCCGTTATTTCTTTGTCATTTAGGAAACTGCCCTCAGGATCATGGTTAGATTTCTTATTCCCCTACTAGAGCCTCAGCATGATTTAACCTCACCCCCTCTGAAACCCTGATGACAGCTGTCCACCCATGCTGTCTGCAAGGTGATATTGCTGGAGGTCTTAACATCCTTACGTTTGTTTCTGTTTCCTTTCCAACCTTATTTTCTATCAGGGCTGAGTAAGTTTCTTTCCCCGATACCCTTTCCAGTTCCCACTGTAATCAAATGTTTCCTTCCCAGCTACTGTCCTTGGCTCCAAACTGAGGAGGAGACAGTAAGTCCTTTGGCTTGAGCATGCTTTCAAAGTGTACTTGGCTCACACCATGCCCCTGAGAAATGTTAGTGATTTTTACATCCTTTCTAAAAGACATGGCAGCATCCAGATCTGTCATTACTAAAGGCTTCATGTCCTTTGTTGCACTGCCTACATGGCGGCCAATTCCCTGCATGCCTAAATAAAAGCTCCTCCCACTCAAGCTATAGCAGCATCCTGAGCAGAGGAAAAAGGGAGCCTTACACATGCTTAGTAAATGCTGCTGATTCTGCAGTTGCAAGGCATGAGGCAACTTTGAGATTACAGGTACTCTGAATCAAGCGGCTTTCTTCTACTGCCGCTGAAAATGGTCTTATAAGTTGCTCTCTCCACCCCCAATTTTTAGCGTAACTGACCACTGCTATTTCACGCAATGGTCTTGTCATAACCAGTGTCTCGGACAAGAACCTGTAGGTAAGCATCACTTTTGTAAGAAGAGACTCAAGAGCCGCCCTCCCCTTTCTAGTCACTCAACAGTGTGATGCTAAGAGCTGTTCAGGAACAAATTCTGGCAATAACACAGCAGGGGCACAAAAACCAGGGGTCTGTTCAGACCGCCATTTCCAAGACTTCACCCCATATTGCAATGGAGGAAGGTATGAAAACTGCCTGAACAGAGGCTTTCAGGACAAGAACGAGCTAAGAAGCAGACAACTTCCAGTCCCTTCTAAATATCAAAAGGACAGCTCAATGTCTTTTAAAGCATGGAGTTCTTTGCCAGGTTCATATTTCTGGCCTAGTAATGGCAAGATGTGGAAAGTTTTCCAAAGGTGAAGAATAGGACTCCCATCACAGACACCTTGTCTCTCTGAGGCCCAACACTGAAATGAGAAGATGAATGCCCTAGAAACCCCACACTGGAGTACTAAGAGCAGCTAGCACCACACAGGATAATTAGCTGACGTGTAACAGTTTTGCAGATGAAACTAAATCTCAAATTACCCTTGTTTAGCATTAACATAGAGAATCCCCCATCTATACAAAAATAATGCAAAAACAATGTCCAATAGAAATAAAACAGTAACGACCTCAATAACTAGCCTTCGTCAGCCCAGTGTTTCCCTAATCTACCATGCACTTCCCTCCATGCTCCCAGATCCTTTATCTCAGATTCCCCTCTCCCGCACCATCCCACTTCACACCTGTCTGCTTCAGAGCCTCAGCAGCTCGGCAGGCAGCTTTCATTATGGCTAGTTTCCCCCGTGGCTGGCCTGGAACGAAGATCTCTACTTCCACCTGCACTTCCTCCAACTCTATTTCCTTCTCCTGGCCCTGCTTGCTACCCTGCCTCCTCCTGTTACATGGCTGCCTGGGGAAGACTCCCCGGAGCAGAGTCTCCATTAGCTTCCGGGCTTGGGCCTCCTCATTCTTTTTGGGCTGCATGACAATTCCCACCAAGGCAGCCGGGGCTTTGCAAGTGTACTTCTTTACTTCCTTCAAGACCTCCTGGATCTCAGCCTGCTTATTCTGCAGGCAAGAAGCTTGGCATAGGAAAAAAATGAGTTGGGACTGGCTCTTGCTAAAACCAGGCTCAGCCCCTGGCAGTGTCTGGGTCATAGCCATGTCCAGGCTGTTGCTTGGTTTGAGAGCGTCTGGGAACAGTTCCTGGACAAAAGCCTTCATCAGAGCCCGTGTGTCATCCCCTGTCAGTGCCTCTCCAATCAGCAGCACATCGGGCTTCCCTCCAACCTTTTCCACCAGGACCTGGAAGTCCTTTAGGATCTTCTCTCCAGGCTCAAGGGCAGCAAGGGGATGCTTTGACTCCTGCACCTTCTCCATGCCTTGCTAGCATGGTTTCCCCTGCCTTCAGCTTCCCTAATCCCAAAAGATTACAAATCTGACACTTTCCTGCTATGTCACAATACCTACCCTCACCTCACCCTGCCCACAGACACGGTGCCTCTCCATAGGCTGGCTCTGGGACACAGCTCCCGCTTCACATCCTTTAGAAATGCACGTCCCAACATGGGCAGCCATGCAGGATTCCACCTGCTGCTGTAATAGAAGCACACCCAAAACCTGCTCACGTAGCAACATGCCTGTGCGACAAACGGCCCCATCTCCTAGCACCGCAGCCAAGAGAATACAGGCAGTCCTCGACTTAAGACATTATGAGTTACAACGGCACCTACGACGTTTATAAACTGACACCCTGTTTTGACTTTCTGACATCAGTTTTGACTTCACAACACTTGATCTGACACAACGCCAGCGAACAAGTTTGCTGCATCGCTCATCTCCCTGGAGAACATCTGTCCAAACTTTCTTGGACACTTTCTTTAAGAAAGCAGGCAAGAATCCTGAGAAGACTCCAGCCAAGAGCCCTTCAAAAAGTCCAGCAGTCACCTCAAAAAAGTCCTTCCAAATCAATATGATCGCTATTTACAATACAAATACACTAATGTAGCTATCTTACTCATCTGTAAGTGATTGAGTACAAAATTCTGGGTTACTCTTGGTGAAAATAGGGTACTCTGCCTTGGTTCAGGAACCAAACCCCCATTTATAACATTATGCCTATGGGAAAATCGGTGATGACCTCTGGACTTAAGATGCAGCTGTGGTTGTGCTGCAAGTCCGAGGACTGCCTGTAATCAAAACCAAACCGGCTAATAAATGCCCAAATAACTTCCCCCGAGTTGGGCAGGTCCCTGAGGGAGCAACCCCCCCCCGGATGACCCTGGCGGGCGAGCTCTGGGGTAGTGAGAGGGCCCGACAGGGGCGAGACCCGGCACCCGAGGGAGACAGCAAGGTCCCAGATGCCCGGTCCAGCAGAGGAGCCGAGCAGCGAGCCGGGGGGCCCGCGCCAGGAAGCTCCACCGCGCCCCACGTGCCTGCAGCCGGGCCCGCCGCCTCCGCCGGGTCGGGGCCGGGGC